TCAATCATTATATGCTCATTTTTCTGGATAAAGCAACATATAATTGACCGTGTGAGAAAATTGGTTCTTGTAAAATCAATAACTTCAATCATTATATGCTCATTTTTCTGGATATAGCAACATATAACTAACCGTGTGAGAAAATTGGTTCTTGTAAAAAAAATCAACATTTGACATCGATTGACATTAACTTTTATTTATGGTCATGACAAAACAAACAGCCAACGAAAATTGTCTCATTTTCAATTTGAATCGAATTTTGACGTCCAAATGTGTTAAAGACAATTTATAAAAAGAATATGTACTATATAAAAGTGTATAGATAAATATATGATAAAGTCATTGTTATTGTATATTATTACTAAACACTTTGTATGTATAAATTTTTTTAAAAATTAAACGTTAATGATGAAACATTAATTTTGTAAACTAAAATTGAACAATAATAATTTATTGTGTAAAAAGAAGTTGTAAACGTATTTGTGATTATAAGTAAACTAATATAATTTTTGATAATTATTTAAAGATAAAAAAGTAATTACAAAGGTGAAAAGTTAGTGGGAAAAAAAAAGTTAAACAAACTTATGCTAGTACACTAACAAAGTATATGGACTAAATTTAAATTTTAAATAATTACTGCAGGTATACGAATTTTTAAATCAAAGATGGTTTACCAGTTACCAAAAAAAAACGGAAAAACTGAAAATTCCTTATAAATACTTATCAGTTTTTCTAATATTTATGTTATTAGGATATGATGTTTTTTTAAAATTTTAAATGAAAGATTTTTAAAATTAGTTAAAAAAAATGGAAAGTTGAATTTTGAATTTTGAATTCCTTATAAATACTTTCTGGAAAATAAGGAAATACCAAAAAAAAAATAATCAAAAAATAGGAATTTCTTAAAAATTGTCAAGTGTCAATTAGCCTACTTAGAAATGAGACATGTGGCATTTAAAAGTTTTGTTTATTAGAGGAGGTAGATAAACACTTTGTATGTATAAATTTTTTAAAAAATTAAACGTTAATGATGAAACATTAATTTTGTAAACTAAAATTGAACAATAATAATTTATTGTGTTAAAAAAAGTTGTAAACGTATTTGTGATTGAAAGTAAACTAATATAATTTTTGATAATTATTTAAAGATAAAAAGGTAATTACATAGGTAAAAAGTTAGTGGAAAAAAAAAGTTAAACAAACTTATGCTAGTACACTAACAAAGTATTGAGACTAAATTTAAACTTTAAATAATTACTGCATGTATACGAATTTTTAAATCAAAGATGGTTTACCAGTTACAAAAAAAAAACGGAAAAACTGAAAATTCCTTATAAATACTTATCAGTTTTTCTAATATTTATGTTATTAGGATAGGATGTTTTTTTTAAATTTTAAATGAAAGATTTTTAAAATTACCTAAAAAAATGGAAACTTGAATTTTGAATTTTGAATTCCTTATAAATACTTTCTGAAAAATAAGGAAATACCAAAAAAAAAAATAGGAATTTCTTAAAAATTGTGGCATTTAAAGGTTTTGTTTATTAGAGGAGGTAGATTAGGGACTATATAATAAAGTCTAGTGTTATCTCTCTCCCTAATAAAAACCTCTCTAAGGTGCCACATGGCATTTTTCTACAACTCCAAATTGCCACGTGTCATATTGTGCTAGAGCCTTTCCTCTAATTCCCGCCTATACACTTCCTTCATCGTTAATCTTTAGTCTTTAATGCCATCCTACAAAATAGGATTCTCATTGAAACAAAATCACCTATTATCCCTCTGATTGAGGTGATGGGTTACACATTCAATTTTAAATCCCTGATATTTCTCCCCTTTCCTTATCAGATTCAATTTTGAATCCGGATTTTCTCCGTCTCGGCATCTATCTCTCAAAACTCCCCCCTTCGTCTATATCCGATGTCTTATGAACTTTTCTACTTCTCTGCTTCAACATCGCAACCTCCATCGACAAATCGCAGCTTCCATACACGTATCTCAGTTTCGCTTCTGAACGGCTTCAAGCGATTTTGTATTTTATAATTTTCATAGTGTCGTTGATTTTTAATCTACTCAATCTCCAGGTTATGTGAAGGTAATTTTTGTTCACGTTTAGGATTCAAGCAAATTGATATTAGGTTTGATGTTAATTTTTTGGGGTTTTATTTGCTATTTTTGTGATTTATATCTTTGCTTATTAAATATCTGTTTGTATAAAAATTGTTGGATGCCATCATTTTAATTTGAATATTACTTTTAGGGTTCATTTTTCATTTAGTTGTATCTTTTAGCATAACAAAATGCTCGATGCCATCATTGTTGTTACAATGAGTTTTGAATAATAAAAAGGCTATAGTTGACCAGGTTAAATTGTTTTCAAGTTTTTTATATGCTCATGTGTTCTTAATCGGTATTTCTTTATGGATAAAATAAAGTTATATCAACATAGACAAGAGAGTTTAATTGGTTTTTCACCAACATAAATGCTCTGGTCAAATGAAAATGACATCATAAAAGAAATGTTGATATGGTAAAAGATACTAATTATATCATGTGTTAATATTATGAAGTGAATTTGTGGGGTCTGTAATATTGCTAAAATCCATATAAATTACTTCTCCTTGTAATGAAAGTTACAATATTTTTACTCAATTAATAGAGGTTTTGGTTATAATTCGATGGACTAAAATATCCTTAATTATCATTTTCAAAGTACACTAAACAATTTTTGGTTTGGATGTTCCAATATCAATATAACAAGTTCCATTTTTGGCATAATTTCTATCAAGAGTTTTCTCATTGCTCATTAATAATCCTGTGAATGTATCAATGACATTTATTTTAATCCAAAACATTATCTGTTTTTATCTTTGTTGAGGAGGGTCATTTATGTGATTGAGTTCCAATATCAATATAACAAGTTCCATTTTTGGCATAATTTCTATCAATAGTTTTCTCATTGCTCATTAATAATCCTTTGAATGTATCAATGACATTTATTTTAATCCAAAACATTATCTGTTTTTATCTTTGTTGAGGAGGGTCATTTATGTGATTGAGTAATAGTTGATTTTTGAAAATAGATTTACCCCTTTTTGTTTCATATTATTTTGTCATAAATCTCACCATTTGTGTTATTGAGCAGAGATATCAAGCATGAAGTAGGTTCCATGTGTGAGTACCCAATCCCTCCATCTTCTTCTTTTACTCAATACAAAAACGACTCTATAGAGAGAAACAGAAATGATACATTTCATGCCAAGTCTGTAATTTTTTACAATTTTTTTCATTTATTTTTTCCTTCCAATTTCCAAAGTTGGTATCATTTCTCCATAATAATTTTTGAATATCACTTATTAGGACAACACTTTATTCACAGAAACAGTTTGTGTGAAAAAGGAACCAGTTTGATATTATAGAAATAATTAGAATATTTCTTTAGTAGCTGATTGCACTAGCCTATCACCAATTGCTGGAAAGAAGTCATAAACTTATAAGACACCAATTTCCTGTTCTTAAGATGCAGATAAACGAAATTGTTGGGAGTTTTTGGTTTGAAGGTCTTAAACAGTCGCAAACGATGATCAGAAACTTGGTTGAAATATGGAGGTACTATTTATTTTACTTTATATCCATATTATCGTTCAAATTACATCTAATAGAAGAAATGACAGAAAGATGATAATCATGATACATTTATTTCTTTTCACTTTTAATAATAAACCTATTTTCATTCTTTTAAAGTTGTAGTTTTCATATTATCCTTCAATTTCCGTATTATTTTTTAAATTCTATATAAGAGAAAAAATGATAGAAAGACGAGACTTTTGTTTCTTGCCCACTTTCAATCAATGATCATACTTTCATTTTTCCTTCATGATTACTCATTTTGATAATCAGAACAAACGATGACTAAAAGAACTAGAACAAAACTCCTTTAATATGAAGATGTATGAATTGCCTTAACCAGAATAATAGATTTGGATCGTCTGTTTCTACTGCATCAAAAAGTCAACAAGTACTAATATTTTCTTTTTCTTTACCACGAAACTAAATTGTGTGTTTATGTAGTTTTCACTTTTTCAAAGTCAAGTAATCAAGAATAATGTTTTTTTTTTTTAATTGTGACAAAAAAGCATATTAATTTAATTATTAAAAATAGTTAATGGCTCAATCTATAAAATGGAGAAATCTATTATGTCTTTTCTATATTTCCCCCTTTTTAACACTAGAAAACCAGGAAAATGGTTTTCTTAATGGTCAAATGTTACATACTTTCAGAAATGATAGATAGTGAATATAATGTGTGTATATTAAGTGATTTTATGTTGAAACCAAAATTGTATGCTTGAAAGTTTATATCACTGAGTTGTGTATGTAAATATTGTTATATTTATCTTAATTTTAATATATTTTTTTTTCTTTTTTTGTGCATGTTTCATGTTCTCTTTAATATGTTATCTTGGACAGGGGTAAAATTGTCAAAATTGCCATCAACACTCTAAAGGGATAACCGGATAAGCAACAAAGCTTCGACTTGTGTTTGTTGATATGTGTTTCGATAAGGATGATAGACTATCAATAAAACATTCAATATTGTGTATAAACAAGTTTTATTATAAGACCTTTGTATATATTTATTATTTATATAGATTTTAGCCAATAATTATGTCATTGTGATATTACTGACAAAAAATATATATTTATTATTTATTAAAGTTTTTATTATCAATTCTCAATAATTAAGTTATAATTTAATTAAAATTGTTTTAAATTATTCATTAGTGGTACCACGGGTTATAACCTAATTAAGATGATACATTTGTATTGTAATTACAAAATGAGCGATGCATACGTATCCCAGACTCTAACAGAATTTCCCACCAGAAACTTACAAGAAATATTTTCAATTTCTTTTTTCCACAAACACAATTCCTGAAATTTGTAGAACCTGCACTGCTCTGTTATTCTCCATTCTGTGCATTTCGTCTCCACCAAGAATGGCGTCAATCATCCCCAAATGCTTCTCATTCATCATCGTCATCATCAACATGATGCTCTTTTCTCTAATTTCATCAACGCTATCTCAGAGTAAATCACCGCCATTTTATTCTTTGTTTAGATGCTTCTTCAATTACTCATATCATTTGTTTTGTGATTATTACCAGGTCCTACATACATGGCGTTCGTCGTTAACGCAACAGCTCTTCCGCCGGAGGACTCCTTTGACTACATAGTAGTCGGCGGTGGCACAGCAGGTTGCCCATTGGCAGCGACGTTATCAGTCAATCACCGTGTCTTGCTTCTTGAAAGAGGCGGTGTTCCGCACATCAACCCTACCATCATGAGACAAGAGGGTTTCATCCCCACTCTCCGGCAAGTCGACCCATTCCACTCCGCCGCCCAAGCATTCACTTCCGAGGAAGGCGTTCCCAATGCTCGTGGCCGGATTCTTGGCGGCAGCAGCGCCATTAACGCCGGATTTTATAGTCGAGCAGACGATGAATTTTATGATCGATCGGGGATCAATTGGGATCCGCTTTTGCTCGAGCGTTCTTATCAATGGGTTGAGAAATCCATCGTGTTTGAACCCCAGCTACAGTCGTGGCAAACTGCCCTTCGTGATGGATTATTGGAAATCGGTGTTCAACCTTATAACGGATTTACGTTAAAACACTCTCTTGGAACCAAGATCGGTGGTTCTACCTTCAACAGCTCCGGCCATAGACACAGCGCCGCTGATCTTCTGAATCTCGCTAGAGAAACAAATATCAAGATCGCCGTCTATGCAAGCGTTGAGAGGATCTTATTCGCTGCTTCAGATTCTCCTGAGTCCAAGGAGAGCGCCATCGGCGTTGTGATTCGTGATAGTGCTGGCTATTTTCACCATGCACTGCTAAGGGAGAAAGGAGAGGTCATTCTCTCCGCCGGCGCCATTGGTAGCCCCCACCTGCTTCTCTTGAGTGGCGTCGGACCACGCTCGTACCTTTCTTCTTGGGGGATTCCGGTGGTAAATCATTCTCCGTTTGTTGGGGAGTTTCTGTATGATAATCCACGAAACGGAATATCGTTTGTGTCACCTAAGCTACTGGAGCATTCTCTCATACAGGTGGTGGGCATTACTGATTCCGGTGCTTATCTCGAAGCATCATCCAACGTTCTCCCTTTTCCTTCTCCTGTACACTCTATCTTCATGCGATCTTCATCTTCTCCGTTGTATTTTAGTGTCGCCAGCATCATGGAGAAGACCATCGGCCCTCTATCTGCCGGATCACTTCGTTTGGCGTCCACAGAAATCAGAGTTAACCCAAACGTACGTTTTAACTACTTCAGCAACCCGGTGGATTTGCAGAGATGTGTAAACGGAACGCGTAAGGTTGGTGAGTTGCTTAGAAGCCAGGCGATGTCTAGTTACAGGTTCCTGGGATGGTCCGGTGCAGAGTTTAGATTCATGGGTCTGCCATTGCCGGCAAACCAAACAAGCGATGAGGAGATGAGTGATTTTTGCCGGCGGACAGTGAGCACAATATGGCACTACCATGGCGGATGCGTGGTGGGGAGGGTGGTGGATCCAAATTTGAAGGTCATCGGTGTTGATTCTCTTCGAGTAATTGATGGTTCCGTTTTCTCAATTTCACCTGGCACCAATCCACAGGCTACTGTTTTAATGCTTGGGAGGTAAGTTTTTTTAGCTTGTGTTGTGTCTTGAATTGGAGTTTGAGTTTGAGTTTGACTGACACCACCATTGTTGGTTTGTAATTGTTGCAGGCATATGGGTTTGAAGATTTTGATAGAAAGAATGCAAAAGGCAAACACTTGATTTTGATTTCCTTGTTATGTTAATATTACACATTTACACCCTTGTTTGTTGTATTCATTCATTCATGGCTTCTGTTACTGATGATAGATATTCAAAATTTCATGTTGAAAATGACATTAATAACACAAAATTTTATATCATGTAATTAGAATTGTGACTTGTGAGTTAAGAAAGCCACTAAGGTCTGATGCTAATTGTTATTTGTGAATTCTTGTTCTGAGTAAGTTGATGCTTGTAATGTCCTTTTATTTTGTGGATATGAAATAATAGGTGGTTACAAATTACTACAAGTTTTAAACAGAAATTAGTGGAAAATATATAGGACAAACTTGGAGGAAATAACAACATATTTAATGAATAAACTATATTTTAAATTACTCCTAATGAAAATGTATATAATTTGCAGCTGATTTAGTCTACATGTAGGATACTATTATGAGTCAAACTTTACAGTAAACTGCCTATGCCAGTATTAAAGGCAAAGTAAAATGCTATTTCCCACAATTTGTGCAGATTTTTTGTGGTTTGTCAAGTAAAGTAAAGAAATTTATGCAAAATGATAGATCAGCTTAGATACCATATAAAATGCAACATTACAGTTCATAAAGCTCAGTTACATGAAAATAAAAATCTAACAAGATCCCGGATCAATTCACACACAATTCCCTTCATCAAAACAATGCCTAACATAACTTGCAAATCTTGTTTTAAGCCTACACCGATGCAAATGCTCCTCATCACTTACCCCTGAACACAATAAAAAAAAATGGATTTTAATCACATTGTAATATTGGAAACTAAAAATGGATAAAAATTCACACAAACAGAGAGAACAAGTGACATACGAATTCATCATCAGGGTAATGTTGTCCCCTTTTAGTAGAATCCTTCCTACACATATCCAAAAAGTTACAATTTATAATAGAAATAATGATGGGAAGTTAACCTAGAAAAAGATGAAAATATAAGATTGACAAACCTAGTGGCTTTCTGGTCTTCTTCTTAATGCTGACTTCCTCAGCCTCATCAAGAACCAAATTCATGTACTCATCAAACCCCTACATCAAACAAATAAACACATAACTTTTCAAGGGATAGTATGCATCATGTTGTTCTGTCGAAAGAGAAAAAGGCACACTTTTGATTCTTGATTTACCATTTATGCATATCCATTATCAAAAGAGAAAAGAAAAACAAAGGCATATTTTGATTCTTGATGTTATGGGTAGCACTTATCAATCTGTTGTAAATTGAACATCCATTTTATTCTACTTACAAAGCTAAATGTAGTTAACAAATCCCCTAGAAGGTTTCATATGTCTATATATAGATTTTGAAGAAAGCAAACCTTTGACATCATAATCAAAGTCTGTAAGGTCAAGAGGGTATCGTTTAATACCAGTCAAGCCCTAAAACCCGAACCACAGATATCATTGGCTACTCGGGTCGCTCAAATTTTACAGGATTCAGGTCTCAAGGACTAGAAAGAAAGTTCATGGAAAAACATACGATTATGCGGCCTTCAATCCTCAAGTCCTTCTGCTCAAATAGCCATATCTGAATACGAGCTTTCTGTTTCGCAAACAAAACATAAAGTAAGGAAATCATCCAGCAAGGTGTAAGAAAATCGAAAGGAAAAAGCTTGCAGGAACTTACACTCTGGAGGAACCTAAAGATCAGATTCTGAAGCCAAGGAGTAAAGAAAAAATTGAAATTGCATTAGTAATTAACCGATGAAAGAATTAGGGTAAGTTGTTGAGGGATGAGAAATACATACGATCGGTTGGGTCATGATCCTCTGGACTTTGGTGGCCATGGCTGCTGTTGTTGTGGATGTCCTCTACTTTGATTGATAACGCAGTCGCAGAGAAAACCCTAGGAGAGCTCTTACGGGAGAGGAGACTGAAGTGAGCCCTTGTTTCTGGTCAACATTTACAGTTTCCCCCGCCCCTTTTATTCTTCTTTTAATTCGTCTTTCAATTATTCTTGAATAAGTTACACGAATAGTCCTTGTGTTTTGGTCTATATTGCTTGTTTGGTCCTTCTTAATCGTCTTTTTTTCAATTGGACGGTCCTTATATGGCTTTGCTTCGATTTTCGTCCCCGACAAACTTGAAAAGACTATTATACCCTTATCTGATTTTTTAAATATTTATTTAATTAATTTAATTGTTATACATTATTTAAATCATGTGGTCGCACCACCCACCATTCACATAACCCTCATTGTCTCCCTTTATTCAACACACATTTCATACAACTCATTCGAAAATATGAAATATGTCACTATGCTTGCATATATTAATGTATCCCATATTGGTGTGACGTTGTCCTATAAGTGACTATATATGTTGGAATCTTCTTTCTTCATAATATCTATTTTGGAGGGACGATATCGAACCTCATATATATCTTACATGGTATCATTGTCAACATCTAACATCTTGTGGTGGTTTAACACATCTCTGTATCTAAAGAGGAGTGTCAATGTACCACACATTAGTGCGACATAATCTTATAAATGGCTAAATATGTTAGTGTCCTCTCTTTCCATAAGAGCTCTTTTGGTAAAACAATCTTGGACTCCACATGTACCTTACAGTCTCCGACAACGACTTGACCAAAATATATAATTGTCCTGATCTCGCCACCTTAGTCTCGAGCTTTATAGTAAGGGAAGTGATATTTCCACTTAATAATTTTATTCATCCACATAAAATGTATGTTTTAATGATTTGTACGATAGCTACAATGATATTGTATTTTATATGGATTGATCGATTTCTAAAGTGGAAATAGCATAGTTACAAGTTGGGGCTAGCCCACTTGGCTAACTTGGGGGTTCTAATCTAACTACTAACTAGGAGGTCTTGGGTTCAATCTCAGGCAGAGGAGATATATATATTTATTTTCCGTTCAAAAAAAATATCATAGTAAATTAGAAGTAACAAACTGGGGTTTCAAACAATCAATAATTAATGAAAATTAATAACAAAACAAGATTATGTAACCCAAAACAAAGATCCATGACGGTTATCTTGCTTCATAATATAATTTATGATTTCAAACAATAATGACTATGTAACAAATTAGGATTTAAAACATGCAATGAATATGTAATAAATTTGAAGCAACAAAAAGTGGTTGTAGAAGTGAACTTGCGATTTCCATGATTCCCCACACGAAAACCCAACTCTATATTTAAAACCAAATTTTCTTGTAGTAACGATGATAGACGAGAAGAAAGCATACCGGAGAGGATTGAACGGGAAAATGGGTGAGAGGATGGGTGTTCCTGTGACCAAAGATTCGCATCGGGGGGTGGAGGGTTATGGGGGTAAGAAGGGATAGGTGAGATAGGGATGTCCATGTTAAGTTAGATAAGAGGTGGGTGGGGATGGGTTTGTTGGTGATCCTCGTCAAGATTGTAGTGGTGGCGGTAGGAAGGTTGTGGCGTTGTAGGGTTGTCGGTGTCTCGTTGATAGAATGGAGGAAGGAGTCAGATGTGTCATCGGGCTTCATTGGAGAGAGGGAGAGAGAGAAAGAGAGAGAAAGTTATATATATATATATATATATATATATATATATATATATATATATATAGAGAGAGAGAGAGAGAGAGAGATAGGTTCAGGTGTTTAAAGTATTTATTGTGTTATTGTATGCATAAATGTGGACCAATTAAAATTAAATAACAAATTAAATAATTAAATAAATAAATAAGGGTAATTTAGTAATTTGTTTAGTAACTTCCAAAAATAATTCCTATAATCATGATATTGACTTTTAACCTAATTTCTCAAGGTTTATAAAACCTAGAAGTCACTCTATCGACCAACCCGCCCACAGAAGATCGCCACCACCATCATCTGCTGTTGCCGCCACCACCATTGTTTGTTGTTGCCGCCGATCTCCAGTCGCAATTCGCTGTTATGGCCGCCGGTAATCAATTGAATTAGGTTCGCTTTCGGTTCATCAATTTGGAGTCGGAATTGAAATCGTATCGACATCAACCGGAAACGAAGGTTGTGATTTTGTCTCCAAAATCGGAACTCGTTGTTACATTTTGATATGAACAGGTCTTGGAATCTGGATTGATTACTCAAGAATTTTAAGTCTCTTGCTGTTCGATTTAACTACACAAGATTACAGTTCTGGACTCAAAATTGAAACGAAAATCTTGTTGATTTTAGAAATCAAAAGTCACAATTACAACGAAACGGGAATTTGCATCTGGAACTCAAAATCGGTTTCTGTTCATCGTTATAGACATCAAAATTTCGAGTATCAAAATTGAAATCGGAATTTTTATTGGAATTAAATTGAATTTGGATTTGCACAACACAGTCGATATGGAAACTGGAATTGTCGGTCATCAATTTCGCCATTTTCAGAAACTAGATCGGAGGATTGTAAACGGAAATTTGATTTTGACTTTTAGGAGTCAAAAGCGTGTTCTTTTTTGTTCGTATGAAGAAGATGATTGATGTTACAGTCTTGGTCCCTGCAACTTCAGCGTTTTAACTATTCCAGTCCTCAAATGTTTACAGACTTCACAGATTTAACCCTCCTTTCACACTTTCAGCGTCAAATTGAAGAATATGGGTTATATTTTCATTTTGAGCCCCCACGACTTTCAGATCTTCACGGATTTTACCCAATATCCGAAATTCTTTTCAAATTTCTCCGATTTTTACCATTTTTATCCCTTCTTTGCACTGCTACAGATGGTGGCGAATTCCGATTCTGTTGGAATTAAATCTCAATATTTCCTTTGTGATTTGTGTATTTTCTACGATTGTAGTTTTATCGGTATAGAATCACGAATTCCAATTCTACTGGAATGAAAGCTTGAATTTTGATTCTGTCAGAATAGAATATTGAAGATGAACATTATATGGGATGAAGATGAACAATGACCACCAATCTTCCAAAAAGAATGGATTATTCTACCATAATAATATACAATGTATTGAAAAAACTATATATAATAGTATATTCTGGTAGAATGATTTATATATTGTGTTTTTTTGTTATTAATAAGTGTAACATTCTAATGTAATTCTTAACAATTGTTACCCGTATTCTATAAGAAATTATGTATTTTTTGTTTTTATTCTTCAATTGATTGTTCAAGAATTTGTTATTCTACAAGAAGTTGTTAAAGTCATGATCAAGAAATAGGTTCAAGAAATAGGTTCAAGAATATTTTTATTTTGAAATATGGTTCTCATGAAATATACTCATAAACATATTCTGTCAGAATGTCCGAATTAAAAGAATTATAATTCGTAAAATCAGATTTTTAAAATTAATAGAATCTATGATCCCTTAAAATATGCGATTTTCCTTTATTAAATCTATATTAATTGACTAAAATACCCTTGTAATTAAATTAGATGATATTTTTCAATTATATTTAATTCAAAAATATATATTAATCACTTTCTTAAAATAAGTAAAATTGATTGGCCCATATTTATGCATACAATAACACAATAATTACTTTGAATAGAATAACCTAAGCCTATATATATATATATATATATATATATATATATATATATATATATATATATAGAGAGAGAGAGAGAGAGAGAGAGAGTGAGAGAGAGAGGTAGGTTCCGTTGAGATTAAAAATAAAATAGAGATATTGAGATTCAACCTCAGCCACATATTTCACATTTGCCGCACTAACCCTCCGGCGTACCGGCACGGTAGGCATGTTATAATCATAAATGATTATATAGCGCTGCCCGTTCCTTTCCACCATCCCTACCACCACAACCTTCACCGCCACCGCCACCACCACTACCACCACCTCTGACACCATCCGACCCCACTACTGTCATCTTCGTCACTTATACCACCTCCACCTCTGTCATCACCACCTCTTCTGCTACCAACTGTCATAATCATATATGATTACTCAATCTATGAATAGAGATATATGTATAATCATTTATGAGTAGGCATACCCCACTGGTGCCGGTACGCTGGAGCGTTAGAGCGGCAAATAAAAAATATATGGCTGAGGTTGAATCTCAAGATCTTTAATTTTTTTTAATCTCATATATATATATATATATATATATATATATATATATATATATATATATATAAAGAGAGAGAGAGATCGCCAAAAGCTATAGGAAAACAATATAAATCTACACCCAAGTTTACATTGCAAAAGTCATAGCTAGATAATGGTTCTCCTTCATTCTAATTCGAAATTTATATTCTTGTAGATGTCCTAAAAAAACGTATCAAAGAGGTTATGCCCTTTGTATCTTCACACCGAATCCTAGGATACATGTCACAATAATAAAATAATACAAAAAACAAAAGGGAAAATGACCTTGAAAGGGTAACCAACTGTTGGTTTTGTACATATTTTGTCATTTTTTTTACATGGTATATCATCTAACTTGTTGTTTGTGTTTATCATAACCTTTTTGACCGGCTATCACATGTGACAATCGGTCAAAAGAGTTATGGTGAACACAAAGAACAAGTTAGATGGTATATTGCGTACAAAAAAAGGGAAAAAAAAAAACAAATATGAACAAAATCAACAGTTGGTTACACTCCTGAATCATTTTTCTTAATATTAACAATCTCTTTCCTTCTAGACTAGGTTCGAATTCGTATGCCTCTACTTTTTTATTTTTCTTTTAACAATTACTGTTATGCCGACGCCCCCTCTCAAACTTTCATTTTTATAATTTACACCTAAATTTTAATTTTTTTTTACAAATTTGGTAAAAAAAATAACTTTTTAATAACTACCCCATTTTTTTAGTTATAACTTTGGTCCATTTTAATGGATTTTATAGATGTGATATAAATATGCTTACAATCTTTCCTTAACTTCTTTTAAAAAAATTTATAAAAGTAAGTCTTTTTAAAACAAAAATTACAACTTCTTTTAATTTTTTTCAAATCTAAATTAACCAACTTATTTGACATATTCTTTTATATGTTTGTTTATAAAAAATTTATATACTTCTTTTTATAGATTTTAAACATTTTTTTTTCTTCTTTGCAAATTAAAACACTATTTCTACTAAAAAAATTAAAATACAAAAAAAATTGTCAGCAAGGTGTTATTTTTGTCACCTAACATAAACATTTTTTTACATTAACTAGAAACAGAAAGATAATTTATGCTGGGAAAATGACCCAGACGGGTAACCAACTGTTGATTTTGTTGATATTTTATCAATTTCTTTTTTTTTTGTATGCAATATACCATTTAACTTGTTTGTGTTCATCATAATCCTTTTGACCGACTATCACATTTGTTAGTCGGTTAAAAGGGTTATGGTGAACATAAATAACAAGTTAGATGGTATATTGTGTACAAAAAAAAAATAATAATTAAAAAAAAACAAATGTGAAGAAAATCAACAGTTAGTTATCATCCTCGTCCAATTTCCCAAAACAAAATGTCTCAATACATAAGTTTTGACAAAAATCTTACTTTTTAAATGTTTGCCAAGATTTTTTTTTTTTTTTGAACCGGCAATCTAATCTACTTCTAAGCTAACAACACCTATTCCACTATGTCCATGACGAGACTTGAACCCTCGACCTCAAAGAGGGAGGGCACCACCTGATACCGCTGGGCTACAAGCCCTTTGGTAAATGTTTGCCAAGATACATGCTAGAATCTTTCATAGTTATGTAATGCAATGAAGTACAATACATGAACACTTATAAACATTCATATCATAATTACTTTTCTTTTATTCCATAGCAGACCATGAATGGAAGAACAAATCAAGCCATGATGGTGCTTGTCGGTTTAAGCTTACCTTGATGGACTCCATGAAATCCTAAGGGTTTAACTTTACCTTGACGGATTCCATAGACAAATACCATTCCAATAGTGTTTGTCATTTCCATTACTAGAGAGACCTGTTTATTTCATTATATTTATCATTTTCAATGCACAAAATAAAAGAGAAAAATACATTCCAATGAAAACATGACCATAACCATAAGTACATTTTTTGCAAAAAAAATCCAGTCTCTTGACTGAACCTCCAGTTTTTGTTAAACACAAGGACCAAATTTGTTTACTCTTAACAACCACTGGAGAATGTTACCAAAGATCCCATACGTAAAACAAAACGAGCCCCTCAACGTAAAGACACTAAAATAATTGTCTGCAAAATAATGTTATTTTATATAAATCTCTATAACCTACCCTGCAAAAAAAAAAAAAAAGGAAGGATCTATTTAGTTCATCGATACCAAATATTGTTAGGTGCATCTTTATTATAGTATTTGTCATTGTCATACCTTTTCCCATACTAAACAGAATTAAAACAATCCACATCTACTCGGTAAAAATCTTGAAAAAAATATAATTGCATTTATCCACCCACACTTGTGAAAGAATACCAAAAAAATTTGCACTCAAAAGTTATAAAAAATAAAGAAAGGAGACAAATTTACATGCTCAAATGCTAATGCTCCCTCTACCGGAGAAACATAAAGAAAGAATTCCTAAACTTGTAATGCCCATATCTAACACAACGATATTATATGAAACGGAACGAAAAGCACGAAAAATGAAAATATTCTAAGATTCTATATGATTACAAAAGAAATGTTGGTGAGAAAGAGATATACAAACAAAACAATCAAGAACTCCCATGAGATCTGATGGAGGATATGGATTGTGCTGAAACAGAAGCAGTTGGACTGCTTAGATCTCGTTCCCCATTTGCTATTCTTGGCTTCCCGCTCAACCTATCTATTGCTTCTTGACTTATCTCTCCAAACCACTCATCCTCAGGAAGTACACTGCCAACAAAAAAAAAATCCTACCATTATTACTCATGTAATCATAAATATTTTGATAATTTGTAATTGTAGATATTTTCAGTTCCACTCACGCATATGGATCCACTCCTGTTGCAGCAAAGGCTGCAAGTGCTTTAGATATGATTTCGTTCACCACTCGGTTTAGATTCCGTGATAAGTAACGCCCTTGCGCAGCAAACGACAGCACAAACTTCATATCCAGATAAAACTGCAAATTTCCATCGCATAAAATAAACAAATATTCTATTTCTCACAAATACCCGTTGTTTAGTCTTTTGTCCATATCATATCACATGTAATGTACCTGTTGAAGACCAAGAGGACCTAAAGGCCTTGGTCCTTCCTCGATATCGTCCCAAAAAGTTTGGTCTTCTGAAAGCCACAAGATCACAGTCTCCGTAAGCCTCATTAACAACATTGTCGAAAAACGTTCCCTTCCAACAAACATTTCTGCTGCTATTCCAGACATCCTGTAAAGCTTCGCATAAAGTTCCTGAACAACACCAACCAATAAAACCAACACTTAGCAATTCAGATTCAGACCACCAAATATATATATATATATATATATATATATATATATATATATATATATATATTACAATAAGTACCTGAAAAACTGGAGAAGGGAACCATTCAATTTCCTCAACATTTCCATCCATGTGTATGTACATATCAGCAGTAAGATGACTATCACCCTCTTCAGTAAAAATAAGATCTAACGCATGCTGCCTGCAGAAACTATCCTTCAATCTATCTACTATCCCTGCAAGCCGTCTCTTCCATTCCCTTTGCTCAGTGTTCCGATTTTGCCCTGAAGGGCGTCTACGAGGGTCGTCTTTGTAAATATTTTGACCTTGACCTTGAGGGGTAAGTTTCATGGCTGCACGAGGCAACAATTCATCAGCTAACAAAGATGCATTCGCAAGCAACGCCATTTGTTGGGCTTCAGTCTCCGCCATCCGGACAATTTTACTCCCAGACCCTTCGTAGCTTCCTTCTTCTTCCATGGACCCCGGGAGTGCTCTTATCAACATGCTCACATAGGAATTAAACACCTGAAACAACCCCTCCAACATTTTCCCTCCTAACTGCATGCTCAAAAGCGGGCCCACGTCCTCGAAGAAATCCTGAACCATCACATTGAACCTTTGAGCACTGCTCGAGAGCTTATGGTGAAGAGATGTTACGGATGTTGTGGACCTTCCGGAAAGACGTGTGACACCTGGCGAATTGGAAAGATCCCAATCATCGGCTGCAGCTAAAGCAGCTGTACTCTCTTCGATTCGTTTTAGATTCGCATCGAGTGCTTGTTCGACACTCGGTCTAAAAAGTTTTAAAAGAACAGGACAAAGTGCTAACCCACGGGCTTCAAGCAAAGTACAATGTCCTAAAGCTATTTGTACACATTCAGCAGCAGCCCTAAGTCCACCAGCAGCAGCAGATGAAGCTAACGCGTGTCTTTTCACAAGAACAGCAAAGTCCTCAACTTGTTTTGTAGCCCACATCACAAGCTCAGAGATATACGCAGGTTCTTTACCAAAAATAGCATTCGAATCCGTTGCTGTTTGTGCAATAACAGAAAAAACTAACTGTGAAATGGCAGCTGTGTAGGCTCCACCATATGAAGTGCTTGAAGGGCGAAGGTTCTGCATGTTAGATTGAAGTCTTTGGTAATGTGCTTGAAGGAGTAGAGTATGGGCGTGGGGCCCATCTCCTAGTTTTTTAAGGGCGTTAATGGCTGCACGAAGCTCACTGCCACGTGTTGTGGGTTGAGAGGCGGCTTCTGAAAGCTGATTGGCTAATCTTTGTCTGCATTCTGTTGTGGCAGTTTGAAGGGAGGCTAAAACAACAGGACTTAGAGAATTGTTTCCTTTTGCTTCTGAAGCTATGCGTTCACCTTCATCTAGGGTGGATAGAGCTTCTTCTACTCTTCTTTCAGCTAATAAAACATCCAGAATATCGGGAAATTCGATTAACCAATTTTCTAAGTCTGAAGGGTCTCTGTCTTGATCAGGAGATAAACCGGAACCTTCCGGAAGAGTGATGGATAAAGAATCGACATGGACCCCATCAGCTAGACCGTGGATTATGGTGGCTTGAGTGGATAGTAAGTTTCTTATGGACAGTAGTTCGCCTTCTAAATCTGATATCTCTTTTGATGTGCTGAAATTTTTTAAATTTATACCAATATTAGTTACCATTTTGGATTAAGATTATAAAGTGAAAGAGAGGACCCACCGTATGAATGCAGTATAATTAGCGTATACACTCCTTCGCATTTCCTCTGCAGAAGCTTTCTTTAAATCCAAAAGATATGAGCATAATTGTCTTATCTCCTGTGAATGAGGTACATGTGAGTTATATTGAAGCAATATATCAATAGAATGGAAGATGCAATATGGTATGGGATTGAATAATTACTATTAATAGCTAAACAGCGAAAAGAATCAGACAAATCGAACTTTTTTTTTTGGAAATAGTTACGATCTTGACAAGATATTACGATTCTTGGTATAGCATATATGCATCATTTTAACACAAATTACAAATATGACATGTGGTATTATAATGAGCCATGTCAAACAAACACGGACACAAGAAGCACACAAATACCTATTCAGATATTTCGAATTCATATACATGTTGTAACAGATTAAACTAGTTGGAATTAGAGGGAGTGGATCCAAGTATCATATGGACCTAGTATTGATACATCTGATGGTGAAATGAACATTAGTTAGAACTAGAAGGGGTGGCTTCAAGTATCATATAGACCTAGCATTGATACATTTCAAGGTGAAATGAACAATCTTATAATGATGATCCGAACCTACTAGCTGTTCTTACATGGATGAAGTCCTGGTTGATCATAAGCAGCTATCCTCACAACAAATAAGGTTATAAGGCCAATGCTCAATAGCACAACAATAGCTAGAAATAAAGATTCACAAATGCGACTTTGAAGTATAGATGAATTGTTATATAGACTATAATTATCGAGATATTTTGAACTTGAAGAAAAAATATTCAGGCGACGTTATAACAATGGACAGAATACCTACAATTTCTCACAAAATTGTCCTAAAATTAGAATTGTAAGACTGCGCATGAAGCATTTTGGGCCATACTGACCTTCTCGTTCAAGGAATTACACTTGGAGTTGACAAAGCCATCGGCGTCGAATTTATCGGACTTGAATATGTTGAGATTTTCCTCGAGCTTGGGGCCGGTTTCCTTGGAGTTAGCTTTTACAGGGGCGCCTCCTCTTGACCGAGATGACAGTTTGGAAGACATATCGCTGAGTAAAAGAAGATCGAAGGAACGAGAATCTAGGGCTGGAATCAGATAGGTGTAAAGAAGACGATTATAAGAGACGGAAGTGGTTTGCTGAATGAATCAAAAGCTCAGATCTGAATTTGTGATGATTGTATGAGGGTAATGAATTGGCATCGAAGAGACAATTATGAAATGATGATGGATCAAGGATCAAAGCGGTGGCTGGCTACGCCGGATATCCACCTCAGAGAGAGAGAGAGAGAGAGAGAGAGAGAGAAAAGGTTAGTTGGTTTAAGACTTTAGACGATGTATCTGCAAATTATTGCTGGGTTTGTTTCATTTTATTTTTATTTTATTTTAGACTTTTCACTTTTCTCTTTCGTTTATTGAGAGACTGTTGGTTGTTAGGACGATTTTTATTTTTTATTTTTCCAGTATTTGCTTTGCTTCGAAGGATAATTTTTCTAGACTTACGTTTTTATTTGAACTTTTGAAGCTTTTTAATTATTATTTTATTTTGATTTTGGTCAAATGAGTTGGTAATTGGTATTCAGAATCCAACCAATATTTGGTGTCAGTGAGTTGTTAAATAATACATATTCCATACCAAAGAAAACCTCGCATTTCATCTGAATGCAATTTGCTTGTAATTTTACATAGGAAAAAGTAACACACAAAATCCATTCAAAAATTACTACAAAATTTATTATTGCCAACACTTTTCAAGAAACAAGAGGCCTCAATGTTCAACAAACATGGCCTTGATCAACTTCAGTAAAAATTGCAAAATGTAACATCTTCCTGCCTCATTCATCAGGAGAATCCGACCGAATAGCTGTTCAATAGACAAAAAACAAAGAGTCAGAAAAATCTATTCAAAGATAGAAACAAACGATCTTACATTAACATCAAAAAAATCAAAGCATAAAATCCCATAAGAATTGGATAAACATTTGGGATTAAGATGATACATGCAGAAACAAAGGGAATAATGCTAAATCTAAAAGAGATGTTATGAAAATTAGTCGCCAAATATATTAAGATATTTATGTGAAAGGGAACAACCATGGAAAATATAATGTATGTGGACTCTTAAATGTGCATTGCTATTACAAGGTTGTTTCTAACCATGTATGTGATTGTGGATTAGCATGTGTGTGTTAAGATGGTTTCAACTCGGAGAATAACACCAAAATTCCTAATGCTCAGTTTGAATATATGAAATTTGAAGATACAAATCTGCCCATTACCAAAATACTAAATATAGGTACCAAAACATGGCTTATTGAGTTCAGGAAACCATATTATTACAATCCCAAACATAGAAAATGCCAAATAGCCTCCAAATTGACATAACAGCTATGGAACTTTTAACAATCGACATGGAAAAACTCATTTCTTTTTCTCCTGATTCTTATAGGAAAGAGAGAATAATGAAGACCATGACATAATGGGGATGATCCAATAAGTTTATCATCTGTTGACATTAGCATAATGGCAGGTTCCAATTGGCGTAACGAATCATACAGTTATCATCACAGAAAGAAATAAATTGCCTAGACACAAAAATCCATCACGATCATCGAATGAAGGTTAACACAAGCAGAATATAATCAACAATAATCGCACCGTGGAAGAAACCCTAGATCTAGGAGACTTAGAAATCGAAATAATTGGGAAAAACTTAAAATGAGGATAGGAAATTACTAGGTTTCTCAGGTTTGCCATCGGCCCATTTGGTGCTGGAGAAATGGACCTTCTCCCGACTGATAGCTTCTGACTTGTAGGGTTCCTTGAGACAGTTCCTCACAAGGCTGGCACATATGTTCGAGTACGATATATACGTCATCCCGGCAGATCTCCAAAACGGCACAGCAGCGGTTGAAGCCATGACAATCCTTCTTTCTTTTTCTGTAGATGTGTGTGTATATGTATATTGGCCTACAGGTCGTCTGCTCGATCTCTCCCAATATCTCCGATAAATTGAACGGGGATGATTACATCGAATGTTTTAGGACAAACCCTGAAGTTTATAGGGAGGCTGCTTTTCAACCCTTAATAATGTTCCACACGATAACAAACCCTCCACTTTTTATCCAAGGGTTAATGATCTAGTAACCATGTTTTTTTCTACATATTTTGATATTGAACTTATTTCACCTAATAAGGTAATATGACTAGTAATCGGCTGTAATATTACGCTACTGGCCCAATTACGAACAAATCAAACAAGTTTACTAACATCTTTTCCAGTGGTATCGCCGCTGATAAAACTCCCCAGCCCCCAGGCGGTGGGTGGTGTGTGGCTTAGCCGCTGTTACATATGCCATACAATTCGAGTTGCAGTCGTTTTATGAGGCAAAAGTCAAAATTGTGAAAATGAGCCTGACCATCAGGTCTTATTGCCCAGCTTTATCTTCATCTTCACAGCGCCCAAACAGTCTATTCGACTCCCCGATTAAATGGCCATATCCTCCTCATGTAAAAACTTCGTACTTGAAACTTTATAGGGGTCAATTTGATGTAGGGAGGGGAGTGAAACACTTGTCGGTGAGTGGCGGCACTGAGAGGAAGAGGATGGCTAGCACGGCGGCGTCTTCTTCAATGCACGTATCTCCCTGGGATGATAAACCTTACCAGGTGCTACCTGGTGGGGAAATAGCTTACTACGACGAGCGGGACGTGGTGTCGTTTCTCGATCCACCCAAACAACTTATTCCTTTAGATCCATCTTCTTACAACCCCGCTACTTATCTCTGGTATTACTCTCTCCTTCACTTTAGACACTGTTTGATAGATTTCTGTATTTCTATGTTTTTACTTACCTCATCAAATTATGTTTAACAAGATTGTATTCTACATGTTCGATCATTTGCCAACACATAGGGCATCGAAATCAAGATATGGATTAGGGGTTGGACCTCATTCCGTTAAATTTTCAACTAGTCTTGATATGCTTCCAATCTATGCCGTGAAATTACAGTTCCTAGCATTAGGAAATCTTCACAAAATCTTGAAAAATTGTACCAATGAACATGAAAGGCTTATGCTTTTTGGTTTTAATGGAAGTTTATGTGATTGGAGTCTTGGCTTGTTGTTTAAGTTATTACAGTCTTAGCCTGAAACCTTGATGTGTATGTGATCACCAGGAAAAAGATTGATGACATCCCAGAGGAAAGGAGACATCGTTTGCTGGCATTGCTTAATCCCAGGTATTTGTCTTTGAAATTTGTATGTTTCCTTATTAGTGAGATATGTTTTCAGCGCTGCTTACCTCTTTATTTAGATGATTATGTCTTGTAATACAACTTCATGTGTGTTTCACATGAACATGTAATGTGAAGTCAAAAAGATTAAAATGGAGGTTCAAATTTCATCTATTAATTTGTCATGTTTTGTTTTGGTGCAGACTTATTTCAAGAGCTTGGGAGGTAGCAGGCACAAGATATGATAATTCAAACTTGGCAAAGAAAAGTTCATCTAACTTGTTTGGCGATGAAACAGGTGTGAAGTTGCTTGAATTTTGGCACTGCAGAACGAATGGAGGTAACTTGACCAGACTTAAACACACTTATACTGTGGTTGTTGATCATAGCAATAATTAGGTTACCCTCTTCTAGGGTTTTGTTATGTATATAATACATGAAATTTTATGCACCTGGTCTTGAAATATCGTGAAAACGTTGTTGAGAGTAAGAAAGAATTAAGATGACGAAATCTGTCACGTTCCTCACTAGTTTGGTGTCCAATTGTGGCGACATCATATTTGGATTTTTTTTTTTTTTTTCCTTTTGTTCATGATATGATCAAACCAGATATAGGACAGAGAAAATGTAACGGATTTGGAAGTACAAATATTGAAGCACAAAGGTACAAGTAACTCAATTAAATTATCTTGCAACCTAGTCAAACTAACTCAGATTTTTGCATGAAAGTAAAGATTGGAAAGAGTACACCAACAAAAGCAAATTTTCAGCCTTTTAAGAGTATCCATTTGGCACTCAACAACTTAGTATAATGGGTTTTACAGAGTAACTATAGCACTACTGGTGTATACAGCTCCTCGTTTTATACCATTGATGATTTTTTTTTCTTCAAATAGGGCCCTTGGCTGTAGCCTGGATTAATTACTTCAAGAAGGTTAATTCTGTGTTCTGTAAATCAATAGTTTCCTTTCTTATGTACATATCTTATTAAAAATTTGTGGTATTTCAGGCTTTATTTTGCTGCAAGGATGGCCAAACTTTTGGAAGAGTTATTGGTAATTTTGGCAATATATATTATATAGTAATCAGTATATTGATGATATCCATTATCCAATAAACAAATTATGAATTTGATTCTCAGATGCAACAGTTCTGAATGGATTATCGCGTTCATTTGCTCCATTATACTTCAAAGTGAAAGAGGTGACTGAAGTGATGGCAACAGAGCAGCCATGTGATGTGGCATATGAATTTGGAAGTGGAGATTTTGATTTCCAGGAATACCCTCAAGGATTCCCAAAACCAGGTTACCTTATCTTTGTTGCGACATGTGTCATTTTTGTAAATTATGTATGTGTTATTCATGAGGTGTTTTGAATGTTACTGCAGGAAAACATCCATGGCCGTTTAATGATGAGGTTGTGATATATGTAAGAAACGTTGGGCCTGGTGTTATGGTGGGACAAGTATGGCAAGAAGGACAAGATTTGAAACAAGTGCCTAAGAAACTATGTAGTGAGATTTTAATGGTCAAAGATTATGATGCACAATTAGATAAAAGTTGGTGAAGAAGTGTACTTGTCTGGTTTTCATTATTATTATTCATGTTTTATTATCATTATTAATTGTATTTATAAATAAACAAATAAAAAACAATGGGAAGGTGAGATTGGAAAACTGGAAATGAGGATGGGGGTCGTACACAAACTTGCTTGATTTGCGCCATACTTTGTGTTCCATAACTGATGCTAGTCAAATAAGATGCTTCCAAATAGTTTTTTAAATAAATAAATAAATAAAAGTCATCATAAAAATAGTTAAATACATAATTAGAACAATTTACGATTCTAAAAATTGATTATTAGTCAATCATAATGTTGCTTAAAATATGTTGCATGCGAGAAATAAATAGTCGATGTGGCCATGGTGTGTCGGTGGACTAGCAAACACCATTTCTTTAACTTTTTTATTACAAAATACAAATACAAACTACCCCTCCAACTTCAACTCCTTTCCATTTGAGGCTATCTTTTGAGTCGGATTCTCATCTTCAAGCTTTCGTTTTGTATTTAATTGAATGATTTAACTGCAATTCAAAACGATGGTATCAAAATAAATGCAAAAAAAAATCTATAGGAAACGTATAGATTTATTTTGTATAATAAAAGTTACGACGTGGGGGAGATTTTCAACGATGAATAAATAGATTCTGGGAGGCTACATGTGATGATAAAGTTAAGGTAGGTGAGTACATTTTGGTAAAAACATGGAGGGTATCATGTGCAAATTGCAATTCACCCATGTGAACTCCTGCCATACCATACATACATGATACATAGATCAAATCAAAGCCTCAAGCCTATCTCCCTTTCTCTTATATAATGTAGCCAACAAGAAACAGACTGCATTTTTCTCAATCTCCCCTTCTTTCTGGATTGTGACGTCAGAAAAGTGGCTGCCTTCTCTTTCCCTTTTTAAAAGAGTGATTAGATAGAACTGGAACAAGCTTCTTGATTCGTTTATCTATGGTGGTAGTGTTGTAGTATTAGTATTTATTACACTTGCATATATAGATTGATTGATACATATATAGATAGATACGGGAGGATCTGAGAAAAATGAGAATAGATCCGAGACAGATAGTGGCAGGGGTGCTTACAGTCACCATGTTTCTAATGCTTGGTAACATGGTAAAGCGTCAACATTTTGATGCTCCTATTTCTCATCATGTATGCTTCTTCTTCTCCTTCCTTCTACTCTAACTCATCTATTCATTCTCCAAATTCACAATTTAATCACATTCCTTCCTTAATTACTTGTTGTATTCAGTCCTTACTTTTTCATCTTCCGTAATTACATTGGTACCACCACCACCTGCTATGATTTCCACACAATAATCGTTGAATGGATGGAACATGATTGATTCTGTTCCAATTATATCCCGATTTCCCCCCAATTTGAATTACACTCTACATGTATTCATGGACAGAAACTAGCTACTAATTCATAAAACCAAATTCCTTCCTACAGGTCAACCATGCCGGATCTACCCAAGCTTTTGAAGACACCAAGGATTCGGAAAAAAACCTTGCAGTTGATGTCGATGACGATGGCCCATGGAAGGAGGAAAGTTCTGGTCTCAAGCCTTGTTGGTCTAAGCCAGGTTTTGGTCAGTCCTCCAAACTAGAACTAATCCAGGAATCTCAATTGCATGCTTTTCGTTCCATTTCTTATCTCTAACCTTCAAACTTTGATCATATCCGGCAAGCAGAAGAGGATGAAGATTCTAAAGGGTTCGTCACTTTCTCATTAACCAATGGACCCGAATGCCACGTCTCTCAGGTGATTAATTGTTGTTCTTTACAAATCATTCATGTATTGCGCAACTTTTTGTTTCATCTAATCATCGTCAACCACAGATTACGGATGCAGTAGTAGTGGCAAGATACCTGAGGGCAACACTTGTGATTCCCGACATAAGGGGAAGCCAACCTGGTGACTGGAGGTTAGTGTCCATGTCATTTCAATCTCATCATCTTCATTACATATGCAAACATACATTCAAAATCAAACTACACGTATTCCAGGAACTTCGGAGATATTTACGACATTGAGAAGTTTGTAAGCAGCCTGGAGGGAGTAGTGAAAGTAGTAAAATCACAGCCTTCCGAGTTATCATCAAAGAATCTCGCTGTTCTAAGGATTCCCAATAGAGTTACAGACGAGTACATCGCAGAAAACATCGAACCAGTTTTCAAAAGCAAAGGAAACGTAAGAGTAGCGACGTACTTCCCTTCAGTGAACATGAAAAAGGGTAAAATCGAACAAGAAAAAGAGAGAAACTCCGTGGGATGTTTAGCCATGTTTGGAAGTCTTGAACTCCAACCAGAGGTCCGGGAGGTGGTTGACTCAATGGTTGACCGGCTCAAAACGTTGAGTCGGAAGTCCGATGGACAGTTTGTGGCGGTGGATGTGAGACTTGATATGTTGGACAACAAGGGTTGCCAAGGAAATGGCGATGGGTCTAAAAAGTGTTATGGCCCACAAGAGATCGCAATGTTTTTGAGAAAACTAGGGTTTGATAAGAACAGTGCTATATATATGACACAATCACGATGGGACACCAGTCTTGATGCTATCAAAGACCTCTTCCCAAAAACTTACACGAAGGTAACTATCACAGTCTCAAATCAAGCTAGACAATGTCATATTTGATCCAGTCCCACATAAGCTAGACATGGTGATATTTGAATATATCATGATTCATGTTTTTTTTTGTTGAAATGTTTTTATTACAGGAAGGAATAATGCCAATGGAGAAGAAGCAAAAGTATTTGGGATCGGATGCTTCAGAGTATGAGAAGGTGATAGATTTCTATGTATGTTCAGAGAGTGATGTATTCGTGCCAGCAATTTCAGGGTTGTTTTATGCAAATGTTGCTGGAAAAAGAATTGGGTCAGGGAAGACTCGAATATTGGTTCCTGCAAATATTCCTTCTGATGCATCCGTTTCTTTGGGGAGTTATGTTTCGCGTTATGTATCAAAGAAGAACCATATGGCGTATTCATGTTTCTGCTAAAGCGTCTTCTTTTTAGTGATATGAAATAAATGCTTGACAAATGGGGAGATGTAGGATCCAGAGTTTGATTTAGATTGCTTGCTTTTTGTATTTTGGTAGATGGATTTCCATATATTTATAATAGCAACCGATGATAGTGTGTTGTAAAACATTCTGTTCAAGTTTTGTGAGCCAGCAAAATATTATACGGAGTTGCATTCTTCTTATCATACCAATGTACTTCAAGTTTTCTACTGATTTAGTAAAAAAAAACAAGTACGAATTCATATATCATAATCTTTTACCACGAAAATGAAGCAACTTTTTGGAAGAGGAGATTTTAATAAAAATAACAAAATAAATTTTGAGTCAAAATTTGTTGGAAACCAGGGACAAATTACCTAAACAACTCTTGTTAATTTCTTATGCCACGATTCAACTGTTTCTTTCGAATCTCTATGTTTTTTATTCCTCCAGAGATCAAACAAAATCCATCTATCAACATCTACAAATAATAATAATAATAACTGAAATTATGAGTGGGAAAAATGCATGTCATGGTGGTAGGATAATTGGATTGTGGGCCTCAATATCAACATGCCTAATTCCAGGCACAATTTCCTGGATTTCCTTCTCAAGTCTATCAACTTCACTCCCTAGAGCTGTTACCACCTCTTCACCTATAAATAAAATATATAATCAACGTAAAATTTCTCTGGTGATATTTGGTATGACATAATCGGAACGGTTTATTCCATCATAAATTTAAAATAAAAAAAAATGTTTGTTTTGCCGGATGGAATGAAATGGATTCCCTTGGGATTTTAATTCCTTCCATTTTGTTCATTTTCATTCCATAGGCTTTTTTTTCATTCCATCATGGAAAAGAATGAAAAATTGTAATAATAGCCCACTAAAAAAATCATTGACACAAATCTTGATAAAGAATTACATGATTGTAATTATATTCTAGTTTTATTTTCTAGAAAAAATAATTTTTTTATCATAATCTTATTTGGGTTTTAGTACCGTTTTAATGAGCTTTTACTACATTTAACTTTTTTTTTCTACTTTTGTAAATGATAAATTCTATAATTATGGTTAATGTTAAAACTATACCTTCTATTTACATTTACATATAATATAAAATATTTACATGAAAATTAATTCCATTCCCAAAGACCAACAAAACATGATTGTGGAATGTAATGAATGACTCATTCCATTCCATACAACCAAATTAAATAGACCCTTGCTCATAAATCCATTAAATGGAATCTTGGGACATAATTACTTACCATATAAGGACATAATCTTAAGCATTTCAGCATCATCCTCCTCATTTGCAGCACTCCGAAACTGTGCACACAATCATAAATCATTAGATTCATACTCATATTCATCAAACACAAGAACCCTCTTCTTACCTTCTTAGCCCATCCTTCAGGTCCAGTCCTACTAAGATAGTTTTGTACCAATATCACTCCATTGAAATCTGCACATTTTTACACATTTAAAAATCTTCAACAAAATATTCAAAAGTCCCAATAATCAGCTTCCCAAAAATAGGATAGAAAAAAAGTTGTCACCTATTTCTGCTTTAAATCTAAAGAAACCAGGCCCAATCACCTCACTTTTGCAATCATATACAGAATCTACAACCTGCAACAGGAATATAGATAAGTTTTATCTATTCAAGATTCAATTCTTAAGTTACAAGAGTTATCTAACTGTAATTTTTACCGGGTCATTCTTCAAAAACTCAAGAACCCTTTTCATATCATGATCATCAATGGCTCTACCAATCAGTGCATGCCGATTTCTTTGGATAAGAAATATAGCCACCTGCAACAAAAATAGGGAAATTTTTATAACAAATGATTTAATGAGAACATATGTTGTGAAATATTGCTATGAAAATACATACCACTCCAAGAAGATTTCCAACAATGATTGAACCAATGGGATCATAGATAGGATTGCCTGTCAGATTCACAGCAACTAATGATGCAGCTGCAATCACAAGTCCTGTAACTGCAGCACCATCCTGCATTTTCATTTAATAAAGATGAATAATCTTGTTTTCTCAAATATGTTCCATGATCATTATAAGTGGCTAAAATGATGATTTATAAAAATAAAAGCAACAAGCTTTATTAACCTCTGTCATGACTGCAACAGATGTGGGATCATGTCCACGCCAAACATAGTCTCTAATTGTCATGCCTTCTGCAGCTGCACCTTTTCTGACAGCATCCACAGCCACAGCAAGTGAAGCACCTATAATCAAAGTAAAAGGTTTTCTTGTTTCTTTAAATTCATTTATCATGTAGTATGAAAATGTTTGTATCTATATATAGTTTCAGTGTCACCTTCAATAATGAATGAGCCACCAATCACCAAAGCTGCATACAATATATTTCCAGGTGGCTGTGTAGTGTACGTGTATTAACAAGTTAGGTGAGAGACAAACAGAGGTTGAAGGAGCTAAAAGTAATTTGCATAAAGTACCTGTGAAGTCCATAAATTTTGAACTCCATTTACAATTGTGGCACCAGAACCAAGACAGAAGATTCCAACAGCAGATATCAAAGACCAGACAAATCTTTCCTTGGAATAGCCATACCTAACAATAGAAGGGGAATTAATTAGCGCATGGATGAAGAGCATCTGTAAATTGCAGATTGTTAATATGATGAGGAAATATTAATGGCAAAGGAGATACTATACTCACGGGTGAAGAGCATCTGGAGCACGTTTTGAACTGTTTAAGCCGTATAAAAGAAGTGCCTATCATATGAATGTTTGTTAATTTCTTTCAACTTTAAGATAAAAGACAAGAGAAAAGATTCAGATAAAAACAAAGCAAGAATTGAATCCTAAAGGGAGGTTAGTTAATGGTTAATTCAGTTTCACCTGATTTGCAAAATCTGCAACAGAATGGACAGTTTCAGCCAGCATGACATGGCTTGAGGTGAATAGCCAGACCCCCAACTTGAGTGAAAATACGAGAAAGTTGCACCACAAGGCTGTGGTAACAGCTCGCTGACTAGCATGAAAAATTTCACCAACCAACAAATGAATGATAGGAAACAATAGCTTCTTATGAAGAAATCGAAGGTTACAATTTGTTAGTCAATTTACAGGCGATAATAGGTTAAGGGTTACAGATAGATACCTATGATCATCGACCTCTATCTTCTTAATTTTTTTAGGTCTAGTGATAAAACCTGCAAAACCGTGACAATATGTTGTTTTAATTTTACAAAAGAAAATACGAAGCTGATGGTGTGTAGAATGAGTGTAAACAAAGCAAAATTGAGCTTACTCCGGTGAATAGAATAGCGATAATTAGCGTCATTTGAAATGATGGTGGAGGGGGGAGAATCGGGGGTAACAGGGCGTTGTAATGAAAAGGGGGGATTGAGAAGGCGTCGGTCTGAAATGGGACGTAAATGGTGATAAGAACGGGATAGGAGAGGGTGGTTGTGGTTGTTGTTGTGGTTGGGTTGTGGTGGGGGGTCTAGAATACGGGTAAGTAGAGGGGAGAGGTGGCGACGCTGGAGGCGAGAGAGGAGACAACGATGACGATAGATTGGCATGAGTATTATCGTCGTAAGCTTATCGTGCATAACACCATTATTGTTTATCAGCTTGCTAGGGTTTGAAGTTTTTCAGGAAAGAGTTTTACCACTCCATCTCTGATCATCCCCAGTCCCCACCACTTTTTCTTCCTTAGATTTCTATTTGGGGGTGTTTATTTGGTTCCGCAGTCGACATGACTTATAATGGGTTTTGCAAAGGAATTTTTTTTTTTTTTTTTACATAACAATTTATGGTACAATATATAAAATAATCATAGCATTGTTTGCTAATTATTATTTTAGGGTTGAGAATAGGTTGGGTTGAGTCATAAAGGAGATGATTTGTTTAATTAAATAGGTTGTAAATTATAAATGTTAAATTTCTAAATTCTACATCACTTGACTATTACTTTTATCAACTCAAATTACAATAACGATTACTGACTCAGGGTTTTTGACAAATAAAAACAATCAAAATGTAATGATCAACTAAACAATAATACCAAATAAATATAAATTAAAAAAAATTTAAATTTTTTAAACAGGTTAGGAATTTCAACCCTAGCTCAACTCGTTCAATTAAACGGGTTAGATGGGTTGACCCATTTAGTTAAACGAGTTCAAAATCTCAACCCAACATGTTATTTATTGGGTTGGGTTCGGGTTGAATTGGCGGGTTCGGGTTGGGATTGTCACCCATCATTATTTACGAATCAGCTATTTATCATTAAATTTAGTTTCACTTTTCAAAAACATAATTACGACAACCTATAGGTTGAAAGAGACTTCGGCATCTCCGACGAGTCTATTGCCCAACATAAATTTTCTAGCAATTTAGGATGTGTACGGTTGTGAAAAATTGATTTCATTTCGAAGAAAATATTTTCAGAAAATAGAGATAGATTTCATTTTCGATTATCAATGAAAATTATAGAAAACGCGTTTGGTTGGAACCGGTGTAGTTTCATTTTTCATCTTAGAAATTTAGAAAACTGTAAAAATCATTTTTTCCAATTTACATACAATTTGGAAAAATGAAAATTTTTGTAACACCCATAAAATTCAAGTCAATTTAAAACTTTTTAAAACATTTAAAAACATTAAGTTATTACAATTTGTTTTCAAAATAGTTTAGACATCAGAGTATCCCCATAATCAAATCATGAAAATATAAGGAGGTGCACGATCACGCCTTCGCCTTCCCGCGATCATCAGAAGTACCTGAAACAATAATGGATAAATGTAAACTCGAAGGCTTAGTGAGTTACCACCAAAATACCAACGCCATACAGATATAACCATACCATATAAACATATAAGCAAACAGCATGCATAATGAGCCATCAGCCTGACTGGACCGCCTCGCAGGCCTTCATCCTATCTGCACCGCTCTCTGAGCATTCGACACGTCTGGACCGCCTCGCAGGGCCTACTGTAACGACGTAATTTTTCAAACCAATTTTTCATTTTTAAATCACATAAAACTCATATATTATATTTCATAAAAATCATAAGTGTCTCAAGTCAACATAAATCCACAACAAAAGTCAAATCCCAAAATCCTCAACATAATCTCGAACATGTGTGTACAATCACGCCGGTGCCTTCCCGCGATCCTCTGGAGTACCTGAAACACATAACATGTAACACGGTAAACATAAAGCTTAGTGAGTTCCCTAAAATACCACATACAACACATTAGCCACTCGAGGCTATAACTCTGTAAAACTGTAACGCCCGTGTTTCTAGGCTAGTCATTAATATTGACATAATGGTCTAGATTAACCTTTGTAACTAATTTAGAAGAAATAAAAAGGAATTATGTGAATATTATGTGAATTATGTGTTTTATGCTTAATTATTAGGGTTTAATTAATTAAGAATAAAAATGAGCGTCAAAAATTAAATTTTAGATAAAGCCGATATCTATTAAGAAACTTGTAGTGGGCGTGACAAAGATTACGGATATATAAAGAATGTCGAAATCCGAGTTATAACGAAGAAGTTATGACCTGTCGAAGTTTCACGATAAACCGGCACGGTGCCGAATGTCGTAAGCCTTAGTGATCTAAACGAAACTCGTAGTGTTCGTTAAACCGAGAGTAGCTATAAAAAGAACACCTAAATCTGACTTCGTATGAGAAAGTTATGATTTTTCGAAGTTTCAGCTTAGCAGTAGACAGCTAAAAACTCGAATTTTAGATCGAGTGATTTTTAGCCGACACGACCTAAACGAGAATCGAAGGTCTCGTAAATAGTAGCACAACGGTAAAAAGTCTGACGAAAACGGACGTCGGATGAAGAAGTTATGAATTTTTAACGGATTTCCTGTCCTGGTCTGTTAAAAATAATAATATAAAAATTAAAGTCAAAATTAGCCGACGATGTCTAAACGGAAGTTGTAGAGCGTAATTTTACCTACGCGTGCATATAAAGAACGTCAAAAACTGAGCTCGTATGCGAAAGTTATGGATTTTAGAAGTTTTTGCACAAAAATCGAGAAAATTCGCATAGTCACGTTTTTGCCACGTCACCCTCGCTTAGAACGTGTCACGTGTCCGAAATCAGTGAGTCATGCGAGCTACGTGGCGAAAGCTGCTGAGTCATCCGAGCTCCTGACCTGATCTGAAGTGGTCCACTGAGAAGGCGACACGTACCCTCTTCCCTCGTGTCCGAACCCTCGCAAGGCTGCCACAGAACCCCTACTTTCGGACCTAGACCTCGGTCCAATCACAAGAGGCCAACAACCTTCGCATGCGCAGCCATGTGCGAGCCATGTGCGAGCCCTCCCTGCGAGCCCTCGGATCAGCACCACCTGGAGGCTTCTCAGCCGTCCGATCAGAAACTCCTCCCTATAAATAGAAGGCTGCGAGCCTTCCCGGGTAACTTTGGAAATTTGCCACCTTTCACCCTAAATTTCATATTTCTTTCATTCTAACTTCCCCCAAAGCCCCGATATCAATTATAACCCCCGGAATACGCCACGAAGTGCCCGAGAAACCCGGAAAATTTATCTTTTCGGTTTCGAAGCCCGACCCTTTGCAGATCCCGGTTTCTCAATAAAACTCTTGGTTTTATTAGAAACGATCGTTTTAGGAAACGAATTGCTGCCCGGTTTTCATTAAATTAGGTGAGTGTGTAGTTACTTTCACCTTACTATCGGCCGCACATAACCATGCACGACACGACACGAGTCAGCCGCACATAACCATGCACGACACGAGCCCACGGCTCCCAACTATCGGCTGGGCGGTGGGAGCAGCACAGGAAAACGGGCAGCAGCAACACGAGAAGACAGACATCAACAATCTTGATGGCGGCATGCGGCAGTCTCGACGAAACAGAAGGCGAAGAAGGGTGGGCGGCTCCCACCGGAAACATCAACAACGACAGAACAAGGGCGTCGACTGGAATGGCAGTCGTGGCGTCCGGCGTCGGTGTTCACAGCTCCAAAACGGTCTTCGACGGTTCTCTCTCTGTCGTTCACGACGTTCGGCAGCAAGGTCGTAGTGGTGGTGCTCGAACTCGACAAGGCGGCAGCGGCCGGAGATGGGGATACAAGGTTGACGGCGTCGGAGGTGAAGAAGTGAGAGTGGCGGTTGCGGCTCCCTCTCTTAGGGTTAGGGTTCCAGAAGGGTGACGGGTTTATATACCCGGTCACCTTAAGCTAGTTTCCATAGTGGCAAATATAGTCCCTCCTTTCCTTTTTCTTTAAAATTCAGTCCATATTTTACTTTTTTTGCCCCAGCCATCCAAAAACCCTTCAAATTAAGTCTGATATTTATTCTTTAACCCCTGCTTCCATAATTTCTTTTATATTAAGTCTAAATGATACCAAATAGCCCCTCCTCTACAAAACATTTTCAAAATAAGTCCCGAAATTACACTTTAACCCCCGAAACTAACATCCCGATAATTATTATTTGATCTTGGGCAATAATAATATAAAATAATAATAATAATTATCAGCTTGGGGTTCCGGTTTATTATTTAATAAACGGGATGTTACAATTTTCATTTTCTTAGAAAACTTTGGAAAATCGAACGAATCAAACGCGTTTTCAAAATTTCTGTTTTTCTTGGAATTTCTTTTTGGAAAATTGTTTTCATTTTCCAAGAAAATATTTTCGGAAACTAGAGTTGGGTTTTTATTTTCAATTTTCAATGAAAATTTTAGAAAACGCGTTGGGTTGGAAATTGTGAAGTTTTCATTTTCTATCTTAGAAATTTAGAAAACTTTGGAAAACTGTAAAAATCACTTTTCTAATTTACATACAATTTGGAAAAATGAAAATTTTCAGTTTCTTAGAAAACTTTGGAAAACCGAACGAACTAAACGTGTTTTCGAAATTTCCGTTTTTTCTTGAAAAAATTTCCTGAAAAACTAGATAATTTTCCACAACCACACGCACCCTTAGCTTTTTCTCATTCTAGAAATTCAAAAGATGTTCTTGTTTTTGAACCCATAAATCTAGCTTCAAAAACTTAGAAATTGATGTTCAAAAAAATACTCAGAAATCAGCTTTCAAAAGAACACAAATTTTAAATCGTTCAAGAAATCTTTTGTGTGTGTGTGTTCAAGAAACCCAGATGTGTTTCTAATGAAAATGATGGAGATGAACACCAAAAACTTGTATGTCAAAACTCATATCTTCATCCGAACCTAGAATTCTAACGGTTTGAAAACCTTGCACCCTATGTTTAATGAATGTGGTAAACAACAAAAAAAGAGAAAACTTGTGATTTATGTCTAAAAGGAAAGGTCGACCGAAGTTGGAATAATCATTAAGAACTAACACATGGTATGGATGTCCCCAATAGTGTTCTAAAAGGTGCGCCATGGCGCGCGCCAACCGCCAAGGTGTGCCATGGCGTGAGGCGTGGCTTCGTCGTTACTAAAAGTCTCATAACGTTGTTGTTAGGCGTGACCCGTGGCAAAGCGTGATATGGTGTGTCATGGCGCGTTATGGAGTGTTATGGCGCGTGTTTTTTCGTTTGAGACACGTTTTTTGCTCTTTGTTATGTATTTTCTAATCGGGGATACAACTATTGTGTTTTTTGTTAACTTTTTGTTATTGGTTATTGATATAACACTTCTAAAAACTAGTTATATTTGATATAAATTTATATTTATGTGGTAATATAATTATGAATGTAACACCCCGACTCCCAGGT